GCCTACAAAAGACCCGAGCGCGCTGCCCACACAGGCCCCACGACGCAGCCCACAGGGGCCCCAAACGCGCAGGCTCCAGCCCACAGAGGCCCCAAGCGTGCCCACGGAGGCCCTCGCGCGCTGCCCACTGAGGCCCCCCAACACAGCCCACAGAGGCCCAAAGCGCGCCCACAGAGGCCCCAGCCCACAGAGGCCCTCAGCACGCCTTTTAAAGCCCCAAGCGCTGCCCACTGAGGCCCCCGACACCGCCCACAGAGGCCCCCGCCCACAGAGGCCCCAAGCGCGCCCATGGAGGCCCCAGGGCGCTGCCCACAGAGGAACCCAACACAGCCTGCAGAGGCCGCAGCCCACAGAGGCCCCAAGCGCGCCCACGGAGGCCCCAAGCGCGCTGCCCACCGAGGTTTCCCGACGCAGCCCCCCGACGCAACCCACAGAGGCCCCAATCGCGCGCCCACCGAAGCCCCATCCCAATCGTGCCCACGGGGGCCTCCGCGCGCTGCCCGCTGAGCCCCCCTCAACACAGAGGCCCCAAGCGCGTCCACGGAGGCCCCACGACGCGGCCCACTGAAGCCCCCCGACGCAGCCCACTGAGGCCCCCCAACACAACCCACATAGGCCCCAAGGGCGCCCGCGGAGGCCTCAGGCCACAGAGGCCCCAAGCGCGCCCACTGAGGCCCCAAGCGCGCTGCCCACTGAGGCCCCCGACGCCGCCGACAAAGGACCCAAGCGCGCGGAGGCCTCAAGCGCGCCAACGAAAGCCCAGCGCGCTCCCGACGCAGCCCACAGAGGCCCCAAGCACGCCCACAGAGGCCCCAAGCGCGCTGCGCATTGAGGCCTCCGACAGTGCCCACAGAGACCCCAGCCCACAGAGGCCCCAGCCCGCAGAGGCCCCAGCCCACAGCGGCCCCTAGTTTACAACAACACCGGCTCCCGCCGGATACTTCCTCGCAATATAATCCCAAATCGCGCTCTCGTGCGGAATTGCCTCACAGTGTATACAGGAATCGCAGTCTCGCGTGGGACGCCCTCGCAATGTATTCAGACGCCGCGCCATCGATACTTTGGAATACCGCTGTCGCTGTGGATGTCCTCGCGATATATATATATATATATATACACGGGAAATCGCGCTATCGCTCTAGACTTTCTCGCAATTCGCGCAAAGCGCACGTTTCAGCAACCCGCCTGCTCGACCTGGCCGCCTGGGCCCGCCTTCCCAACCTGCCCGTTAGGGCCGATCCGCTGGTTCTGCAACATGATGTCTGCTCCTCGCCCTTCTTGTGCTACTCTCTCTCTCTCGCGCGCGCTCCATCCTCAGATGTTCCTCTTGTCCCGTCCTTCCATCCGTCCTCTCTTACCCTGCATCATGGGCTGCACGAAGTAGAAGTTGCAGGTCAGGAAGATATACCCCCAAGGGGGCACGATCGAAGACGAAGAGGGCGGGTATCGAAGGTTTGGGGTATGCGTTTTGAAGAATGGCACCCGAACAGATAAGAGGAAGCAGTCTTAATATGATTGGTGTTGCTGCTGGAAGTGTTGGTGCTGTTGTTGTTGTTGTTGCTGGTGTTGCTGGTGTTGTTCAACTCTCTCTACTGAAGAATAAATATGGTCGGTCCCCCCTCCGGTGACTATTGTGTTTTACAATTGAAATGTTTCCCCCCGTGCTCGAACCCTGGTTTTCGATCAAAGAAAATTACGGGGCCCAAGCTGTACCGTTGGCCCCCCGGGTTACAACAACAACGGCTTCCGCCCGAGACTTCCTCACAATCCCACCAGCCCTCTGGGCGTAGGTGGTCTAGAGCAGATCCTCTTCCACCCCTCCCTCTTCCCCCTTGGGGAGGGGTTTACCCCTCCCCCTACCCCCTCCCCTGGACCTGGACGGGGGGGGCCGCGGGTAGTTAGAGCGTCCCAGATGGCCCAAGACGGCTCCAAGAGCGCCTCAGAGAACCCAAGATGAGCTCCAAGATGGCTCAAGATAGCGCAAGATCGCTCGAGATGGCTCCTAAGATGGTTCCAAGAAGCCCAAAGACGGCCCCAAGATAACTCCAAGTGGCCAAACAGCTCCCCAAGGAGGCCCCGAAGAGGCCAAAATCGTCCCAAAACCTAAGGAAAATCAATGATTTTTGCTTTCTCGCCTTTTCGCTTCCGATGGCCATCCGAGGCCTGGAGATGGTTCCAAGATGGCCCAAGAGGGCCCCAAGAGAGCCCCAAAAGAGCCCCAAGACGGCCCCAAGAGCGCCCAAGAGCACTCCAAGAGCGTTCCAAGAGGGGTCCAAGAGGCGATTTTAGGGGCTTCCGAGGGGGGACGCTAATTAAACCCCCCCTCTTGTTTGATCGATCTCCTCCAAGATGGCCCCAAGAAGCGCCCAGGAAGCCCCAAGAGGTCCCAAGATGGCCCCAAAATGGCCCCAAGAGGCCCCCAAGAGGCCCCCCGGAGGCCCCCAAGAGACCCCCAAGAGGCCCCAAGAGCCCCCCCAGATGCACCCAAGATGCTCCAAGAGGCCTCGGCGAGAATGCCTAATCATTGATTCTACACAGGTTTTAGCCACATGGAGGCCTCTTGGGGGGGGGCACGGATTAAGATGACTCCAAGAGCGTCTGGGAGAGCCCAAAATGACCTCCAAGATGGCTCAAGATATCCCAAGATGTCTCATAATGGCTTCCTCTGTGTGCTGCCCACTTCTCTGATCGAGGCAATTCCTCTGGGCATCGTTTCTGGATGGGCTGGTGGGGATTCGCGAAGCGACAACAATTTAGCCAGGACCCCCGCTCCCGCCTGAGATTTCCAAGCATTTTGCTCAGAAATCGCGCTGTCGCTTAGCACTTCCTTGCAATTGATTATGGAATCGCCCTCTCAGCGCTTTGGAGTCGCGCTCACGCTGGAGACGTGCTTGCAGTTTTCTCAAGAATCGCGCCCACGCGTTGGAATTACTAGCGATTCACTCAAGCGCCGAGCCCCCGACACTCAGGCACCCAGGCGGCACGCTCACGCTTAGCACTCCCTCGCAGCTTACTTGGGAATCTGGATCTCGCTGCCCTTCGTGGCCCCGTTGCAGCCCGTCGTGGTCTCCTCGCTGCCCTCCGTGGACCAGTTGCAGCCCGTCGTGGCTACTCGTGGCCCCGTTGCAGCCCTTCGTGGCCCCCTCGCTGCCATTCGTGGCCCTGTTGCAGCCCTTCGTGGCCCCCTCGCTGCCCTTCGTGGCCCTGTTGCAGCCCTTCGTGGCCCCCTCGCTGCCCTTCGTGGCCCCGTTGCAGCCCTTCGTGAACCCCTCGCTGCCACTCGTGGGCCCGTTGCAACCCTTCGCGGACACCATCGCTACCCTTCGTGGCCCCGTTGCAGCCCTTCGTGGCCCCCTTCGCTGCCCTTCGTGGCCCCGTTGCAGCCCTTCGTGGCCCCCCCTTGCTGCCCTTCGTGGCCCCGTTGCAGCCGTTCGCGGCCCACTCGCTGCCCTTCGTGGCCCCATACATGCATGCCTGTCGTGGCCTCCGCTCGTTCTCGCCCGTCGTGGCCCTATATGCGTGCGCTTCGCGGTCCCGCTGTCGCCCTTCGCGGCCCCCTCGCTGCCGTTCGTGGCCCCGTTACTGGCCTCAATGCCCCCGTCCTTGCCCTCTGCGGGCCAATATGCGCATGCTCTTCGTGGCCCCCGCTCGTTCGAGCCCGTCGTGGACCCATGTGCATTCCCTTCGCATCCCCGCCGTCGCCTTTTTGCGGCCCCGTCGCTGCCGTACGTGGCCCCGTTGCTACCCTCATCGGCCCCGTCATTGCCCTTTGTGGCCTCGCATTACGTGCCCTTCGTGGGCCCCGCTCGTTCGCGCCTTTCGTGGCCCCATACGCACGCCCTTCGGGGCCCCGCTGTCGACCTTCGTGGCCCCCTTCATGCCCTTCGTGGTCCCGCTGTCGTTATCGCTCTCGCTCTCGCTCTCGCTTTCGGTCGTCGTCGTCGTCGTCGCCGCCGTCGTCGTCTGCATCGTCGTCGTCGTCGCGGTCGGGCCCTTTGTCCGTCCCTCTTGGGGTCGGGCTGCCGTCGATCAGCGCTGCTGGCCAGGCCGACGGTCCGCGGCCACCCCGCCGCTTGCCGGGGCCCGGACTGCAGGAAAGAAACATACACCCCCAAAAAAGGGTACGATCGAAGACGAAGAGGGCGGGTATCAAGGGTTTTAGAAATACAAGTTGAATCACACTCGACAGAGGATGAGCGAACAATCTTAAAAAGTGTGTTGTTGTTGTTGTTGCTGCTGCTGCTGCTGTTGCTGCTGCTGCTGTTTGTCGTGTGTTGTTTGTTGTCGTCGTCCCTCAAACGACCCGGCCCGCGACACACCCCGCGACTCACCCGCGACTCACCCGCGACCCACCCGCGACCCACCCGCGACCCACCCGCGACCCACCCGCGACCCACCGGCGACCCACCAGCGACCCACCCACTTGCTCTGACGAAAAATTCGGCGGCTGCGGCGGGTTCGATACACCATCTGATTGAAAATCGGCGGCTGCGGCGGGCTTCGTCAGAACCTCGCAGGCTGCCAACGACTCCGCCACCCCCCCAATATGATCCGCAACTGCGGATATTCTGAAGTGTTCCAGAACAGGCCTGGCCTTCGAGGATCGAAGGGGTTGGCATCCCTTCCTCAGCGGAAGGCGGCGGCCGTGAAACGAGGCTACCTCTGCCAGATGCGCCGCCCAGAGATGGCAACATTTTTGGGCTCAGGGCTTCGGGAATCGGCAACATGTTTGTGGGCTCCCAGATCCAGATTGATGTTGGGCGCCACCCTGGTTGCAGGGGCCAAGCGGTGCTTACCCCTCCCTCCCCTTCGGGGAACGTGCGGGAACCCAGTCTGCCTTCGACCCCTTCCCGCTGCAGGCATGTGTGTACCTACTTTTCGGCGACCGATGGGCCGTCGTTGCGCCGAGGGCGCTGCGCGGAGAGGCCGAGGCGCAGGGCGGCGGAGAGGGCGAGGCACCCAGGGGCGAGCGCAGGGGGCGGCGAGAGGAGGGCGGCGTCCTGGCCGTCCACCGCGTGGGCCCTGCCCATGAAGCACCTCCGGCGGGCCCCAGGGATATGCACCACCACCCCCTCCATGTCCCCTCCCTCCTCAAGCCTCCTCTTCCCCTCCTCTCGCCTGGGAGAGGGAGGGGGCGAGGGAGGAGGTGGTGGTGGTGGCGTACACTTCTGGGCCCCGCACTTCCAGCAGGCGCAGCAGCACATGCAGCAGCAGGACACGAGCAGGCCGATGCCCACGAGGATCCTGGCGTCGAGGGCGTCTTCGCCCGCCTCGGCCCCCGGCGGCATGACGGCGTCGTGCACCTTTGGAGGCGGGGGCGGTCCCCTGGCCCATGGCGAAGATAGCGGAGCAAGTGATCAGGTGGCAACTCCCAGAGGACATCGACTGACCATCTCGCGGGGTCCAGGATCGGTCTATGCACCCTCCTGACTTGACCAGGGAGGCTCACACACCGATCCTGAGACCAGGATGGGCCCGGCCAGGATCGGTGAGAGGTGGTTAGTTGGCGTCCCCCGAAACTCTCTGACCGTGCGTGCGGGAACGGTAAGGACGAAGGAGCTGCTAAGCCGGACTAGGGAGCTGCTCAACCAGATTGAGCTAGGCGCTCAGCCTGACTACGCTGGGGAGTATCAAAAGGCTTCGAAGGCCAATGACGCCCCCAGGAGGTGCAACCTAAACATCCTGCTTCCGAGCGCAACGCTCGTCGTCATTGATCGCGACGCACGGAGGCCTGGGCCCTCCCTGAAAGAGTTCGACCCTCGGACGGATTTCTGCGCGAACCCAGCCGTAGCGACGAGGTCCCCCCCCTTGAGGCGAAGCAGCATTGGAATACCCCCCTCCCCCTGCTCATCCCTCGCCCGCCTCGAACGTGCCGCCCTCCAAGGGCTCCAGCATGTAGGCCCCGACGCTACTGCAGCCACCCTGTGCGGCGCTGGCGTCGCAAAAGCACAGCCTGTAGGTCCCAGCGGTGGGGAGCGTGATGGAGTTGACCTGGAGCAGGATCCGCCAACATCAAATCAGAAAATCGCATCGGATCGGAGAGTTCGTCGGATCGGGCCGCATCGGCATGGAGCCGGATCGAATCGGATCGGCTGCGCCAGGACTCACAACAGCGCCACGCAAGCATGTGGCAACATCGGCTCGTCGGAATGTCGGAGTCGAAGCGGAACGGGCCCGCCAGAATCGATATCGAGATGGACCGATCGGATCGAAAGGTAAGCTGCCCCGGGTGGGGAGGGGGGAGGACTTCATGACGGGCCGCCCTTTGGCAGTGTCGGTCTCAGGGGGACATGTTTGAGCGCATTTTTCAACTCGCGGCCATAGCGGGCGCTATGGAGGGGGGATCGAAAGGGGCATGACGTAGAGCCCCCCCCAGACTGTGGTGCTGGACGCACTGCGGCAGCGCCGGGGGCGCACTAAGGGGGGGGATCGTTACGTTATAGGGGGAGGGGGGGAGGGGAGGGGCATAACGCGCGTTGTGGCCCAGAGGGTAGAAGGAAGAAGGATGAGACGCCGAGGGAGTAGGGCAAGTGTTCTGAGCAGAAGGTCGGAGGGCGTAGCGAATGAAAGCGGTAAGCGAAAACAGCACTACCAGCAGCACGGACAGAGGTAAGAGAAGCAAGAGGGAGATAGGGAACACAGGAAGCGAAAGAGGAAGTAAGGGAAGGGCAACCTATCCGCCGGCCCCCTTGTGGGGCCACCAGGCTGTAGGCGCGGGTTCGCAGTTTCCAGTAGCAGTTGTAGCTTGTAGTTTCCAGTGTTACAGTTCTGCTTCTTGCTGGTTACTGTAACTAGTTGATCGACCGCGCGAGGGGGGGGGAGGCCCAAACAGGATTTTTTAGCACCCCCTGGGCGCGTTGTCTGAATTGCTGGGGGGGCTCGAAATCGACACCCCTCACGCAGATCCGCGGGGTCAGGGTCCAAAAACACACGGAATTTGCCACATTTCTGAAATTCGGTGCCACCCCTCACGCAGATCCGCGGGGTCAGGGTCCAAAAACACAGGGGATTTGCTACATTTCTGAAATTCGGTGCCACCCCTCACGCAGATCCGCGGGGTCAGGGTCCAAAAACACATGGGAGTTGCCACATTTCTGAAATTCGGTGCCACCCCTCACGCAGATCCGCGGGGTCAGGGTCCAAAAACACATGGGATTTGCCACATTTCTGAAATTCGGTGCCACCCCTCACGCAGATCCGCGGGGTCAGGGTCCAAAAACACATGGGAGTTGCCACATTTCTGAAATTCGGTGCCACCCCTCACGCAGATCCGCGGGGTCAGGGTCCAAAAACACATGGGATTTGCCACATTTCTGAAATTCGGTGCCACCCCTCACGCAGATCCGCGGGGTCAGGGTCCAAAAACACATGGGATTTGCCACATTTCTGAAATTCGGTGCCACCCCTCACGCAGATCCGCGGGGTCAGGGTCCAAAAACACAGGGGATTTGCCACATTTCTGAAATTCGGTGCCACCCCTCACGCAGATCCGCGGGGTCAGGGTCCAAAAACACAGGGGATTTGCCACATTTCTGAAATTCGGTGCCACCCCTCACGCAGATCCGCGGGGTCAGGGTCCAAAAACACAGGGGATTTGCCACATTTCTGAAATTCGGTGCCACCCCTCACGGACATCCATCGCAAGGCGTGGTAACCCAAACTGCGAGTACTCCCTCGGCCCTTTAATCCCAAGGTGTGGTAACCAAGCTCGTAAACCATACACGTCTTACCAATCGCCCTGTGTGGTAACCCCTCTTGTGATCAGTTGGTTTTGCCGATTGCGAATCGGCCTCGCATGAAGTTCCGATACTGCTGCGCGACAGCGCCAAAGCCTCATGACTTAGCTCTTCCATGGCCCATTCTCCGAGAGAGGGGGCCGGCGGCAGGGGGCGAAGCCCTTACGGATAATCACTGTGAGGAGGTAGCATAAGCTGGCATCATTGGATAAGACTTGTACGAGGACGATGAACACGCACGACGACGTGGTAAAGACCAGGTGTATGACGAGGAGCATGCAGACGCATATAGGAGAGCGAATCAGAAAGACGAGTAGCAGCAGAGACCAGAAGAGAACGAGCAAGACGAGCCAGAGGAAGAAGTGGATGATAGAAAGGGGGAGGAAATAATAAAAAGAGAAAGAGAGAGGCAACGAGAGAGAGAGAGAGAGACACACACACACACAAAAATATAAAGATGTACTCACATATCCGTCAGTGTTCCCTCGAGTTCTCCGCCCTCAACCCTGAAGAACGAACAGATAGGAGCCTTGGCCCCAAATTCCGAAATTCCCTGGGCATCCAGGCTACCCACATACTGTGTTTGTGTTCCGCATGTCCCCGAATGGCGGTTCCAGAGCCTGAAGGAGCACAAGACGGCCACTAGGGCCCCAAGAAGCCCGCAGACGGTCCAAAAGGGCTCGAAGTCTCCCGCGGACTCTAAGACGCCCAAGATGACCTCCACACGGCCCAAGACGCCCAGAAGACACCAAGAGGACTCCAAGAGGCTCCCAAAAAGGGCCCCGAGGAGCCAAAATCAATGATTCCCATGTTTGGAACATGTTAGCGTTCTCGCCAGATCGGGCTTTCAACGCTCCAAGAGCCTCCGAGAGGCCTCCCCGAGAGGCCTCCCCGAGAGGTCCCAATTCGCCAGCCCAACGGGCCAGAGGCGTGCTAAGATCTCCGGTAGCAGTTTCATAATAGTTCTAGTTCTAGCGCGCGTGGCGGCACCATGGGGACCCCTGGACTAAACAGTACCCCTGCCGATGCCCGGCCGACTCCCGCATGGCGCTCCAGGAGCGCGCCAAGAGGGCGCCGGGACGCCCCCTACACAGCCCAAGAGGCCCGAGTCGCCGAAAGCTCGTTCCAAGACGCTCAAGATAGACTCAAGAGGCTCTCAAAGAGGGCCCCAACAAACAAAAATCGTCCCACTCGCTTTGTAAAATGTGCGAGTTTCGCATGTACGACGTTTGGGGGTTCACAGCGTCCAGAACTGCCCCAGAGGCCTCCAACATCGTCCCCAGACGGCCCAACAGAGGGCGCCAAGACAGCCAAAGAGGCACCCAAGACGGCCCAAAAGGGCCCCAAAATGGCTTCAAGAGGGGCCCAAGAGGGGGACCAGGAACCGAAAAGTCCGGCCTTCAGCCCCAAGAGGCCCCCAGGAGGCCCCAAGAGGCGCCCAAGAGGCCCCAAGGGGCCCCCAACAGGCACCCCAAGAAGCCCCAAGAGGCCCCCAAGAGGCCCCCAAGAGGCCCCAAGACGGCCCCAACATGGACCCCAAGAGGCCTCAAAACTGCCTTCCAGAGGCCCCCGAAAGGCCAGCCACGAGAGCCCAACCAACATCCATCAGGCCTCCGACCCGCCACCGACCGCCTCCGAAAAATGGCAGCCAGCCAACGGCACCGCACTGACAACAACACCCCGACAAACGACAGCGGCGAGGCAACATGGGCCGGCGGAATGAGCGAAGCGATTAAGGACCCTAAAGCCGCCTCCAAGAGGATCCCGAGAATCCTCCCAACAGACCCCCACAGGCATCGAAGATGCTGCTGACCTGCCACCAAAGCACGGTGGCGGGATAGGCCCAAGTCACTCGGAAGTCCGCCGCCCCCTGTCGATTCATCGCAGGGGTGCCTGGCGTGCTGGACCCTCTCGGTTTTGGTTTTGGTTCTTTTTCCCAAAGAACTCCCCCTGGGGCTTCGGCCCGTCCCGCCGGCCACCCGGAATTTTCCAAATGTTCGGAATTGAATTGTTCGCTCAAGATGGCCCAAGATGGTCCCCAAGATGGCCACGTCGGCCCAAGATGGCCTCCAAGATGGTTCAAGATGGCCTCCAAGTCCGCCCAAGATGGTCCAAGACGGCCTCCCGTACGGCCCAAGAGAATCCTGGACGGCAGAAGACGGCCCAAGAGGCCCCCCAGAGGCCTCCAAGACGGCCCAAGAGGCCAGAGGTCCTCCAGGAGGGCCCGAAGAGGCCCAAATCATTGATTTTCCATGAATGTTTGAAGGATGTTCGCACTCACTTCTTCTCGGCTTTCCGAGGACCCAAGACGGCCCAAGAGGCCCCAAAGATCGCCCCCACGGCGCCCAAGAGGCCTCCAAGAAGGCCTCAGGACGGCCCAAGAGGCCCACAAGACGGCCCCAAGAGGGCACGAAGACGACTCAAGAGGCCTCCAAGACGCCCAAGATTGCCTCTAAGACGGTCCTGGAGCACCCCAAGAGGGCCCCAAGTCGACCCAGAAAGCCCCCCCAAACGGCTTCCGACGGCGTCGGACGGGCCAGGAGCCCGCCAAGACAGCCGAAGTTGGCTCGAAGCTGGCCCAAGACGGCCCAAGAAGCCTCCAAGAGGGCCTCCAGGAAGGCCAGAAAAGGCAAAAAAATACTGATGTTGATGTTCCGTAGGTGTTCGAAGGATTGTCATATTTGCTTCGTTTCGGCCTTCCGACGGCCCGATGCGGCCCAAGAGCCCCCAGACATCGCCCAAGGATCGCCCAAGAGGCCTCCAAGGTTGACCCAGAACGGCCAAAGAGGCCCACAAGACGGCCCAGGAGGCTTTTAAGACGCCCAAGATGGCCTCCAAGACAGCCCTGGAGCATTCCTAGAGGGCCCCAAGTCGGCTCAGAGAGGCCCCCCAAAACGGCTTCCGACGGCGTCGGACGGGCCAGGGGCCCACCAAGACGGCCGAAGATGGCACTAAGATGGCCCAAGGCGGCCCAAGAGGCCTCCAAGAGGGCCTCCAGGAAGGCTCGAAAATGGCCAGAATCATTGATTTCCCATGAGTTTTTGAAGGATTGTGGCATTGTGTCGGCCTTCCGACGGCCCGAGACGGCCCAAGTGCCCCCAAAGATCGCCCAAGAGGCCCAAGACGGCCCCAAGAGGCCCCCAAGACGGCCGAAGAGGCCTCCAAGACGCTCAAGATGGCCTCCAAGACAGCCCAAGAGCCCTCCAAGACGTCCTCCAAGAAGGCCCGAAAGGGTCAAAATGGCCTCCAGGCGGC